AAAATAAAAACTTCAAAAATAAATTAATTTCTTATAGTATAAGTCCTGATAGTTTCATTTAAATCAGACAATTATTTGATTTTTGCAAGAATTTCCAAATTAATGAGTTTTCCTCCGGAAACTGCTAAACTAAAATGGCCAATACCACAAATAGTACAAAGTTAGCAAAAAGAAAAAAAAAAAAAACAACAAAAAAACGAGAATTTTGACCCAAAGTTAAAAAGTTTTAGAAAGAAGGAATTTTTTTTAAAATAATTAAAAAAAATACTTTTTCCCCTTAATAATAACGTAAACATTTTAACGATAAAACTGTGTTTTTATTAAGTTTGAGGCCTTTTATCATAATGCTATATTGATTTTTTAGCGAATTATTGGCGGTAACTAGAAAAAAATTATTTTAGAAATGAAATGAAAATAATCCGGTGAACATGGACTTTCGTGCCCGAGGAAAAAAAAAAAACAATGTCAAAAGGACCGTTTTTTTTTTTTTTCATGACACCGTTTTATTTTAATTACTTTCGCTCTTCGGAAATGTTTATAGATTAAAAAGCTTTGATTAGAATTGTAATACAACAACAATATGATGAAAGTGAATTTATAAAAAAATTTTTCTTCACTAAAATTTATAACAAAAATATAAAAACCTATTCATTACATTTTAAAAACTAATGAGATATTTATCATTTATCATTCCATAAAGAAATAAATATAAAAACGACATTTATTCATGAATTTATAAATATTTATGAAATTATTAAGATACATAAACTAACTATAAGCAAATCCTTATTATTTACTATTTTATATAGTTCGAATAAGCCGATGTTTTGCTAACCATTCCAATAAACACCGTAATAGATAAGTAGAGTTTATTATTTTTGCTGTTAATTCTAAAAAAAAAAGATGTATGAATTCACTTTCGTAAGTTTAGATTTTACTAGCAGCATGGACCGGCTTTGCCCGTGCTTGATTCAAAAATTGTACGACTCATACAGCAATCGCTGTCACTTGACTTAAAATATTTTTGCCCTTCCTTTCCTTTAAAGGAGTGCCCTTTGCCGTGCTGGTGTTGCTACATGCCTTACTTACTAAATCTGTTACGAAAAAAGAACGAAACAAAATGAACACAAAACGATCAGCTTTAAAAAAGGATCCGTAACTGGAAAAAACCGAATGAAAAAAGAATGTTAACAACAAATACTTTTTCACATCCAACCCAGTTCTGCGGAATCAGAATCAACGCTGAGTTTAATCAAGCGAATGAGCCAATTGAACTAAAGTGCCATGCAGATATAAATATTCCCCACTTGTGACGAATGCATCTATCGATTTTTTTTGCATGCTAGTTAACATTCGTGTCAGTCAGCTGTTGGCTCTCAAGCTGGCCACTAGAATCTTCCTACCTATTCGTGGCAGCCAGCTATAGGCTCTCACTCTGGTCAGTAGAAAATGGCCGCAAACTACATGAAAACTGCCGTAGGAGCATGAAAAAAATCGATTATTTCCACTATCGATGGGAGTTGGGAAATGCAAAGTCGGTCTTGGCATTGTCGCTAACTTGGAGCATGTGCATGTAAATTTTGGTGCAAATCCGTCGAAAATTGCGGCCGTGCATTCGTTACACACACACAGACACACACATCCTGCCTTTTATAGACAGAGATTGTTAGTAGTACTGTTCTCCTGAGTGGTCTGGTGGTTGGCGCTGTGGTCTACTTGAAAATTCTTCAGAATTCTTGCAGACGCCATCGTTAGGATTATTTGAACAGAGGTAGCCACGTGATTTTGTCAGGCGTTCAATAAATATACAAAAACAGAAAAGGCTGTAAGACAAGGATGTGACATCTCACCGGACTTTTTCAATCAATACAATGAAGAGATTTGGAAAGAATTAGAAGTCCTATCAGGATGCATTATTGGTGGCCATAATGTTGATAGCAAACACAGAAAGGAAACGACAAGAAGTCCTATGTCGATGGGAGTTGGGAAATGCAAAGTCGGTCTTGGCCTTCCCGCTAACTTGGAGTATGTGCATGTAAATTTTGGTGCAAAACCGTCGAAAACTGCGGCCGTGCATTCGTTACACACACACACACACACACACACACACACACACATCCTGCCTTTTATAGATAGAGATTACAATTCCAATCATCGCTTTTTAAATTAATAAACATTGCTGAAGAGTGAAGGTACTTAAAATAAAAGTGGTACGATGTGTAAAACCGCCCTTTTCACACACCGTTTTATTTTTATTTATTTTTCTATAAATATAAAACATAATATAAATCATACTTTTGTCCTAAATGTACAGCAATTAAGATATGTATTCAATTTTTTTCTCCCCTCTTTGTATAACTGATTTCTTTTCTGGAAATAAAGTGCGTAAAAACTGTTCAAATATTTTACATCTTTGCGGGCACGAAGATGTATGTTTACCAGTATTGAATTTTTCACATTCGGACCATTGTCCTCATCTTTATTCTTGCTATCTCAACGTTTCGACTGTTCTGAGCTCAGGCCTTGTCGATCCGATGAACATTCAAGAAATTTCGAACTGAACACTTTATTTAATTTACGGGACAAGATTGTTCACGTTCTGCTGGCAATATCTAGGGTAATTTCGCCTAGTTCTTATTTTAGTAGCGTTCAGGTATTGCTCAAGTATTGACCTGAAAACTACACAGAACGACAAGCACCTGATGGAGACGGGTGGGAGGGGAACAACAACCGAAACGTTGTAAAAATAACAACATAAATGGTAGTAGCCCGGATGTAAATAATGAATAACTCCTCATTCCAGAAATTCGCACAGAAGTTAATGCCCATTCCGTTGTTTATATCTATCTATCTATCTATCTATCTATCTATCTATCTATCTATCTATCCTGGTCTCTTCATTATCTATCTATCTATCTATCTATCTATCTATCTATCTATCTATCTATCTATCCGTCTAAGTCTCTTCATTATCTATCTATCTATCTATCTATCTATCTATCTATCTCGGTCTCTTCATTATCTATCTATCTATCTATCTATCTATCTATCTATCTATCCTGGTCTCTTCATTTATCTATCTATCTATCTTCTATCTATCTATCTATCTATCTATCTATCTATCTATCTATCTATCTATCCGTCTAAGTCTCTTCATTATCTATCTATCTATCTATCTATCTATCTATCTATCTATCTATCTATCTATCTATCTCTATCTCTTCTCTTCATTATCTATCTATCTATCTATCTATCTATCCTGGTATCTTCATTATATATCTATCTCCAATCTGTTCATATCTATCTATCTATCTATCTATCTATCTATCTATCTATCTATCTATCTATCTATCTATCTCGGTCTCTTCATTATATATCTATCTCAATCTGTTCATATCTATCTATCTATCTATCTATCTATCTATCTATCTATCTATCTATCTATCTATCTCGGTGTCTTCATTATATATCTATCTCAATCTGTTCATATCTATCTATCTATCTCGGTCTCTTCATTATCTATCTATCTATCTATCTATCCTTGTATCTTCATTATATATCTATCTCAATCTGTTCATATCTATCTATCTATCTATCTATCTATCTATCTATCTATCTATCTATCCTGGTCTCTTCATTATCTATCTATCTATCTATCCGTCTAAGTCTCTTCATTATCTATCTATCTATCTATCTATCTATCTATCTATCTATCTATCTATCTATCTATCTATCTCGGTTTCTTCATTATCTATCTATCTATCTATCTATCTATCTATCTATCTATCTATCTATCTATTTATTTACGCCAGTCTCTTCACTATCTACCTATCTATCTATCTATCTATCTATCCAATATTTATCTATCTATGTATCCATACATCTATTTGATTTCCTAGCAATGGAGCTGCTAAGCCCGGGGTAATGTAATACATGGGTGTGGTTCAACCAGAACTGGAATTAGCGAAACTTTTATTTTAATAACGTTCTCGGTACTTCAAGTTGGCGGAAAGATGAAATGTTTTCGTAAACATCCGCTCTATTTTATACTTCGAATATCTAAAACAATTTAAATTTCTCGAAAACATATCTGTTCATTTCCTTGGCTCCGTTTCCCAGAGCGTAAGTGTCTTGCAAGAGATACAAATGCTGTATGAAATCTTGCTTCCCGTTCTCTTTGAGAAGAATCTGCGCGCCATAGAATTTCTCGAAAGAGAGTGACCTTACCACTTCTCAGGAATGGTCTCGCAGTTTTGCGTGACATGGTATAAGAAACAGAGCGTACAGTCCAAGATAGTAAAAGACTATACCAGAGAATTACACGAATGAACAAAAATGGGTAACTTGAGAGAGAAATATAAGCAATGGAAGTCCTTTTCTTACTAAGCTTAGTATCCTTTGGAACAAGGCCAACGAGTACAGGGCACCCAGTCTCAAAGATATTGTAAGCTAAACCAACTCGTTAATCATAATCAAACGCCGAAACGCCCAGTTTAGTTTTTAGCATGGGGCGACAATTTTGACCAACCCTATGAGGATCGAATTCCTCTACAATAACCATTACCCCACACCGAAGCGTCCAGCTTAGTTTTCCTATATGGCGACAATTTTGAGAAACCCTGTACGGATCGAACTCACTACGATTACCATTACACACGCCGAAGCGTCCAGCTTAGTTTTAGAATGAGGCAACAATTTTGAGGAATCCTGTAAGGTTCGAATTCCTTTACGCTAACACTTCTGTCTTCGATAGACCCTGTGAGTATCAAATTCTCCAATTCCTATTTCCTCACTAGGCGTCTAAGTAATTTAAATTCTGATTCTGAATATAAGCTTCCATTTTTGTTTTTATTTTCCTTCTATTTTTTACACGATCCGTCAACAGTACTATCAAACTCCTTCTAGAGAGCCACATTTTATTTGCCTGCAGTTTCTCTCAATCTATAATGAAATTGCCTAGCATTCACGGTCATATAAGAGGATTGATTTTACATGAGAGTTCAGCACTCTTTTCTTTGAAGTGAAGAGATTGGGATAGATAGATAGATAGATGGATAGATAGATAGATAGATAGATAGATATGAAAAGACTGAGATAGATTGATTTACTGATTGATTTGATAAAACAAAATATGCATTCTTTCTTCGTTATAACATATAGTTTATTTATAAAGTAAATGTTTAAAAATAGATGTGAACAGACTTAGACATAGATACATCGATAGTGTTGAGATTGAGATAGATAGATAGATAGATAGATAATGAAGAGTCTGTATAGATAGATAGATAGATAGATAGATAGATAGATAGATAGATAGATAGATAGATAGATAATGAAGAGTCTGTATAGATAGATAGATAGATAGATAGATAGATAGATAGATAGATAGATAGATAATGAAGAGTCTGGATAGATAGATAGATAGATAGATAGATAGATAGATAGATAGACTGATGGATTTGAGAAAAACAAAACAGGAGAAACATCAAATCTTTCTATGATTCCTTCTAGCTTCTGCTGGGAGAATACCTCATTATAAACCTTGTAAAAACCTCTTTTCTCCCTAGAGAAGGCAAGGTTCTGTCAAGTACTCTGACAGTTGCTTGATAATTTGAAGGCAGCAAATCAATCTTATCCTCGTACAAAGACAGTTGCACATAAAAGGAGTTCTCTTTAAAGTCTATTGCTGTGATCAAAATCTTTTATTTTATTTTTGTCATAATCGCTGACAAAGGAAGATGGTGTATTATTTACATTATTCGGACTATTGTCCTCATCTTTGTCGCCATATTTATTACAACGTTTCGGCCGTTTTACGCTTCAGCCTTCTTCAGGTGGTTGGAATGTCGAACTGAACCCTTTATTTCGCTCAGGGTGATAGACTGTTCTAGTTCCACGTGCCATGTCTAATGGATGTCAGTTATCTCCAGTTAATTCCCCTCTCACCGCCTTAACCAGGTATTGAACTCACACTCTTTGGGTCCTGTCACTGGATTTAACCAACGTCTTTATCCACTGAGCCATGTATCCTCGAGTATGAGTTTCTGGGTATTATAAACCTAATGTCTTCGGCAACCATTTTTTACCAGAGCTCATATTGCAATTTTTATTATTATTGCTTTTCTCTTGCACTCCTTATTACTGGTTCCCATATTGTTTTCATTTCTATGCTTGGTCGGCTCAGGTCACATGACACAGTGGATAAAGGCATTAGTTAGATCCAGTGACAAGACCCAAAGAGTGTGAGTTCAATACCCGGTTAAGTCAGTGGAGAAATTGGAGAGGGGAATTAACAGGAGATAATTGACAACAGATATCCATTAAACATGGCACGTGAAACTAGAACAGTCTACCCCAGTGAGCGAAATAAAGGGTTCATTTCGACATTCCAACCACCTGACGAAGGGCGGAGCGTACAACGGCCAAAACGTTGTAATAAATATGGCGACAAAGATGAGGACAATAATCCGAATAATATAAATAGTGTACATAATACCTCATCTCAGAAATATAGACAGATACTGAAAGGCCGAAACTTTGTAATAAATATGGCGACAAAGATGAGGACAATAGTCCGAATAATGTAAATAGTGTACATAATACCTCATCTCAGAAATATAGATAGATACTGAAGGAAGATGGTGTATTGTCCAATACGAGACACTCTTTATGGATTCCGTTCAGTAGCAGACAATTCAAAAGTATCGAGGAATATTTCAGGGTAGGAAGGTTTAGAATCTGTTAGGAATTTCACCTGTTTATCAGGACACGAAGAATGTTCATAAATTATAGTATGATAGTTGTCCAGGTCGTAGGAGGCCTCAGGTTCGACAGGAACGATCTGATGATGATATAAAAAGTAAAGACTGTCCCGAAGGGGTTTATTCTGTTCGGCATTTCCCACGCTGAGAATTTCATATATTCAATAATTCTGGTATTTCTCATGAACTGGAAAATGTTCACTCCAAAAATCCCTTCGATATTTTATCTGATTATCATTGCCATCATGAGAAAATGCCAATTTATAATCCAGTTTGATCAAGTTGCTTCTCACTTCATTGAATTTGTCAAACCTGAATTGAACGTTGAAATTGTCGTCTGAAAGAACTGGTAAGGGAGGTAATCTCCCTTTTTCCACGTTTATCTTCAACATAATTTGATCAGGTTTTCTGCTAGATGTACTCAGATACGGTTTCTCTTGAAAATTGATGGGGTTATTCATGTTTTGGGAGTAATTAATTTTTTTTAAATTCCTTTGGAAAAATAGGAACGCTGAGTTCCGGTGTCCAATAAGGGGTTTATAGAAACCTTTTTTTTTTATTGCCCTCAATGCAGCGTGTTAGATTCTATCGATAATATTAAGCTGTTTTCTCACCTGCGTTAGCACACAATTGAATGTAAAGAGACAACCCCCCTTTACGATTATGACATAAGGGAGCAATATATAGCCTTTTGAAGCGCACAGTTTACATGCATAAAGCATTTTATTCTACAGGAACAATCTGATGATCATATAAAAAATGAAGTCCGGTCCTATTCTGTTCATTTCCCACGCCGAGCACTTCATACATTCAATAAAGTTTGTCTTTATATTGCCTAGAAATTAAAGTAAACATTCGAACATTAGAACGGCTCCTGATCAGACATAATAGACATTCATTGTGTGTTATATTTGATAATAATAATAATAATAATAATAATAATAATAATAATAATAATAATAATTGATGTGGGACTGGTAAGATATTGAGGTTTCGGCGTGAGTGCGTTTCTCGAATTCTTCGTCGCCACTGATGTGGACCCAAAGTTGGGACCACGGAAGGAAAACACAGAACACGGATTAGAGGTAAGAAAGATATATTAAACAAAAATGTTACAAAGATAGTGTAAGTGTAAGCGGAGCTTACTATGTGCTAGTGTCCAATATTGGTAGTCGTACGCGGCTGATACTACGGTATTAGAATACTCTCTCTCTCTCTCTTTCCTCCTCTTCTCTTAGAGTATTATATCGCATACTTTATATAGTCCTGGAAGAGTCCATGTTGTAGGTATGTTACGGTCTCACAACAATAATATATATATATATACGGTCTCACAACAATATATATATATATATATATATATATATATATATATATATATATATATATATATATATATATATATATATATATATATATATATATATATATATCATACAATCGGAATTAAGATATCATTATATAAATAATCACCTCGTAGAATTAAATGCAAATCCCGACTTAATGATTTCGGTACAGTTATAGAAATGTTCCATAAAACTTTTGACTTCACACTTTGAGGGCTTAATGCCACTGAAGGTACCAAACTTTTATAGTTGATCTCATCAAATGATTAGAACTAGATTCGCTTTCACCGAAATTCTTAATTTTGGTTTGTAAGGTTACATATATAATAGACATTCATTGTCTGTTTTTATTTAATAATAATAATAATAATAATAATAATACATATATATATATATATATATATATATATATATATATATATATATATATATATATTTGATACAATCGGAATTTAAGATAACATGATGTAAATAATCATTTTCATTTTGTAAAATTAATACCTCACTTCTATGTTTCGAGCTGAAACATCTAATGCATAACTTGAAAGCCCGGCATCTTGTTATTCTAGCATCATGAGAGGAATATTTACTACACATATACATGGTGTGTCTGTGGGAGGAGCAAAATTTACAAAATTTGCATAATAGTTTGGAAGCGGTAGCAAAGTTATGTAAGGCAACTCCAACGCTTTTTTTTTTTTTTTTTTTTACATTCGATCTGTTATTAATCTTATACTTAATTTCGTTCGGGCCCGTAGGTTTTTTTTTTTTTTTTTTTTTTTTTTTTTGAAAGCGTACGAATTGCTTATAAATAATTTTCAAATGTTCGCTTCAAGGAAAGATAACTCGTGCTCATTCTGTGCACGATGTTTCAACGCCTGAGGGTGTTAGGTGATTTTTCATATATAATATGACTCACGATCTGATTACCTGGGGTAAGATCCTCTAAAAGAAAATACAGACTATAAGTCGTTTTCAGCTCAGATAAATCTGCTCTCACTTTGACGAGATAGTGTTTGGCCATTCCAAATTCGGGATCAAACGTTGGGGAAATAATAAATAATTGCTTGAAAATCTCATATATAATAGAAGGAACATGCGAAAATTCCCGCGTCAAAAGATAAATAGCAATGTCGTAATTATCATTTAAGAAATTAAGGTGAGATATGAATTGCAATGCAAATACCGACTTAAGGGCTTCAGTACACTTATGGAACTGTCCCACAAAAAATTTGAATTCAAACTTTGATGGCTTAATGCCACTGAAGGTACCAAAATTTAATTTTAAATGATTAGAACTAGATTCCCTTTCCCCGAAATTTCGGTTTGTTAGGTTGTATTTTTCTCATAATATATATATATATATATATATATATATATATATATATATATATATTACAATGAATCGTTCATACAAAAAGTAGATTAATGTTAATGATATAAAATGGCGAAATCCCTTAAAAATTTTAAAGATGCATTAACTTACAAATCGCTCGATGAATGTTATGATCCTTGTTTTTAAAAATTATAAGCTGTATAAGGTCTTTCTTCAATACGCAAGTACTTTCAACTGTACATTCAGTCATCTTCATGCTACTTGAATTTTACTAAAAACGGAAAGGTGACTGAAGTCGAGGTGTAACTTCAGGACCGATAACATGAGATGACCCTTCTTTAGATTTTAGTAAGTCTCGAGATTTATGGCAGGAGTATCAGACCAGGTCTGGAAATAATATTCAATGCACAGAATAATGCCAAATATAACACGACCGGCCCACCTCGATTCATGGTCTATCCCCCGCTGGTTGATACTGGCGCCGGTCAACTGATGATTATGTGTTGATCTCTCCATTCCTTCATCTGCTCTGCCCACGTTGTGTACTTTGATCACAGTGTAGTGAAGATCGAAATTTTCGTCTATACTTAAGCGCTGCATCGGTTACGGCTACATCAAGCTATTTCAACGGAATGATTAGTCCTAGTTGCCAGTCTAGTATTACGTCTAATTAAATCCATGTGGTCGAGGCACCAAGGGGAAAAGTTAATTAAAACAAGAGCCATGGAAATGTTTATAGACAACTAGCAGCATGGCCCGGCGTTGCACGTGCTTGATTCAAAAATCGTACGACTCATACAGCAATCTCTATCACTTGACTTAAAATATTTTTGCCCTTCCTTGCCTTTAAAGGAGTGCCCTTTGCCCTGCTGATGTTGCTACATGCCTTACTTCTTGCCTATCTCACACTGTGAATTTTTTCTAAGCCCTATACTAAACATTAACTCTTTTACTAAAATTGAACTAAACAAAATGAACAAAAAATTATTAGCTTTAAAAAAAGGACTCGTAACTGGAAAAACCGAATGAAAAATGAATGTTAACAACAAATACTTCTTCACACCCAACCCAGTTCTGCGGAATCAGAATCAACCTTGAGTTTAAGCAAGCGAATTAGCCAATTGGAGTAAAGTGCCATGCAGATTTAAATTTTTCCCATTTGTGACGAATGCAGCTATTTTTTTTGCATACTAGCATGCTAGTTAACATTCGTGTGAGTCAGCCGTTGGCTCTCACTCTGGCCAATAGAATCTTCCTGCCTATTCGTCGTAGCCAGCTATTGGCTCTCACTATGGCCAGTAGAAAATGTCCGCAAACTACATGAAAACTGCCGTAGAAGCATGAAAAAATCGATTATTTCCACTATCGATGAGAATTGTAAAATGCAAAGTTGGTCTTGGCCTTCCCGCTAACTTGGAGCATGTGCATGTAAATTTTGGTGCAAATTCGTCGAAAATTGCGGCCGTGCATTCGTTACACACACACATATCTTACCTTTTATAGAGATACACAGGGAATGCGCGTCTCGGAGATGTGAAAATGACTGAAGTCGAGATGCAACTTTTAGGACCGATAACATGAGATAACCCTGCTTTAAATTTTAGTAAGTATTTCGAGATTAATGGCAGGAGTATCAGACCAGGTCTGGAAGTAATATTCCATGCACAGAAGAATGGTCAATTTATGAAATGGAATTTGCATGAAAAAGCGTCTAGTACGGCAAAATGAACCAACCTTCGCAGCAAGTTAATGGATTTCTCCGAATTTCTTCTTAAATATGCATTTACTCAAGTTCTTTGTAATCTGACAGGTTCAAATATATGTCTAAGTTATTTACTTGTATCTGTTATCTTCTAACGATCTAATGCGTTTTATTTAATTACGAATTTCAAGGCGAAGAAGGTAAAAAAGACACATTTCACACTATGAGGTGTCCTATTATTGATTAGCATAAACTTCATTCAAACAAGGAGAAATTCAAATACTTCATGTCAAAATCTTCAAACAACTTAAGAGCTTTACCTCTAATTTAAAAGTCGATGAAAATTAGATCGGATAAAAAACTTCTGATAAAAATAACCCACAGATAAATAGACAGATATAAAGAGACTAAGATAGATAGATAGATAGATAGATAGATAGATAGATAGATAGATAGATAGATAGTAATTTTAATTTTTTTTAATTGGACGTTATTTGTGATTACCATGAACGATATTTTTAGTGGGTCCACGTGTCTGAATTTTCACAAATAGTGAAATTAATAACAAGCGGCCTAGATCGAGAGTTCCTACTGAAGAAAAAGATGTCCCCACCTTCGTTTTCATCATTAAGAAGAAAAAAAAACATGAAAAGCAAATCATGCATTGTCTACACACTAAAGATAGATAGATAGATAGATAGATAGATAGATAGATAGATAGATCAGGATGAGATAGATACGATAGATCTGTAATACATAGATAGATAGATAGACAGATAGATAGATAGACTGATAGATAGATCAGGATAGATAGATAGATAGTCTGTAATACATAGATAGATAGATAGACAGATAGATAGATAGACAGATAGATAGATCAGGAAGAGATAGATACGAAGAGTCTGTAATACATAGATAGATAGATAGATAGATAGATAGATAGATAGATAGATAGATAGATAGATAGATAGATAGATCAGGAAGAGATAGATACGAAGAGTCTGTAATACATAGATAGATAGATAGATAGATAGATAGATAGATAGATAGATAGATCAGGAAGAGATAGATACGAAGAGTCTGTAATACATAGATAGATAGATAGATAGATAGATAGATAGATAGATAGATAGATAGATAGATAGAAAAGAGTCTGTAATAGATAGATAGATAGATAGATGATAGATGATAGATAGATAGATGTCTGTAATAGATAGATAGATAGATAGATAGAAGATAGATAGATAGATAGATAGATAGATAGATAGATAGATACGATTAGTCTGTAATAGATAAAAGTCTGTAATAGATAGATACATACGAAGATTCTGTAAGATAGATAGATAGATAGATAGATAGATAGATAGATAGATAGATAGATAGATAGATCAGGAAGAGATAGATACGAAGAGTCTGTAATACATAGATAGATAGATAGATAGATAGATAGATAGATAGATAGATAGATAGATAGATAGATAGAAAGAGTCTGTAATAGATAGATAGATAGATAGGAAGTGTATGTAATACATAGATAGATAGATAGATAGATAGATAGATAGATAGATAGATAGATAGATAGATACGAAGAGTCTGTAATAGATAAAAAGTCTGTAATAGATAGATACATACGAAGAGTCTGTAATAGATAGATAGATAGATAGATAGATAGATAGATAGATAGATAGATACGAAGAGTCTGTAATACATACATAAATAGATAGATAGATTCGAAGAGTCTGTAATAGATAGATAGATAGATAGATAGATAGATAGATAGATAGATAGATCAGGAAGAGATAGATACGAAGAGTCTGTAATACATAGATAGATAGATAGATAGATAGATAGATAGATAGATAGATAGATAGATAGAAAGAGTCTGTAATAGATAGATAGATAGATAGATAGATAGATAGGAAGTGTATGTAATACATATAGATAGATAGATAGATAGATAGATAGATACGAAGAGTCTGTAATAGATAAAAAGTCTGTAATAGATAGATACATACGAAGAGTCTGTAATAGATAGATAGATAGATAGATAGATAGATAGATAGATAGATAGATAGATAGATACAGAAGAGTCTGTAATACATACATAAATAGATAGATAGATTCGAAGAGTCTGTAATAGATAGATAGATAGATAGATAGATAGATAGATAGATAGATAGATAGATAGTCTGATAAAAGATAGATAATAGATAGATAGATAGATAGATAGATAGATAGATGAATAGATAGATAGATATAAAAAGGAAGAAGGTAAGGCAATAAAAAAGGAAAGGAATAAATAAAAATAAAACCTTTTTGTTGGAAATAACGGGAAAAGGAATAAAGATGGGCGACAAATAATGAAAAGTTGAAAGCAACATTTTCATTTTTTTTTTCCAACATTTTTTTCTCAAGAAAAATATGATAATAAAATATGATATTTAGACAGGAATTCGATAGAAAGAGAAACATAGCTTAAGAAAAAGGTTAAAAAAAAATAGACGGAGGAAAAATCGAGTGAAAGCAGAAGACAACTTGAACTCTAACGTCAGTAAAATATTGATAGCAAAGAAAGGAAAAAAAGAGAGAAAAAAAAGCACGAACAATCAAAGAAAATTATTAAAAACGTATTTACACACGTGCCATTCATTCTTTTAACCGACTGCCGAAGCCACAGATTTATTTTTCAAGTAACCCAGGCTAATAATTCAGTTGGCGTCACGAATATTTTAACACTTCTATTCATCACTGATGGCCATCAGTGGCGCCAATTTCCCCCACGGAAACAGACGTCCATTATAACAATCGGTGATGCCAGAAAAAATTTCGACCTTTGGTCGTAAGTCGAAGGGCAAAAAAAAAAAAAGAATCTTCCAACGGAAAGGAGGCGATAGATGGAATAAGCAGATTATGCTACAACACTTTGTATCGTATAGACAGGTCATTATATATATATATATATATATATATATATATATATATATATATATATATATATATATATAACATATATATTGATAATATTAATGGTCAATATACATATATATATATAAATAAATTCCAAGAGGATAGAATTCAGGTAGACCTCATTGTAGGTCTGCTGAATTGGATCGTGATTACGATTCCAATGTAATAAATTATAACCATGGAATATTACTGTTTGAGCCTTTCATATATATATATATATATATATATATATATATATATATATATATATATATATATATATATATATATAGGTGCGATGGGAAAATTGTCGCCATTCGCGCATGTGCAAACATGCTTTTGATTTTGTCGGTATATCTTGGTCAGTTGGTCACTGAATGTGAGTAAAAAGTGCACAATGACGCAATTTATTTCACCAGAAATTTGGAGACAGCATGCTGTACTACTTGGCATTCGTGCCAGAAGCTCCAATGCGAACATTTCAAAGTGTTTGGGTGTCAATCTGGGGACAGTGCCGAGGATTCGGAAAGAGGTGGATGAGTCTAATGGTGATTCCGAAGGTACGGCAGCTCAGAAAACTCACTCTGATCGTTCTGATAAGAAAAGAATACACGATTTTGTTAGTGAAGGTCTCAAAATCAATACGGAGGCCTACATCAAGTGTGTTGAGGAGGTAGTGCTGCCCTGGTCAAGAAGATGATTGCTGGAATGCGCTATATCTGGCAAAAGGACTCTGCACCATGCCATATAACAGAAGAACCTAGTCATAGTTGTCAGACAATTTCTGCTACCACATCATCCCTTTAGATATATTTACCCCTAGCTCCCCAGGGTGTAACTCACTTGATTATTTTTTGTGGGGCGAAGTTAAGCGAGAAACCTACAAAATTCCTTGTATCACCAAAGATAAACTGAAGACAATGATTATGGCAGCATTCAGGAACTTAAACAAGGAGACCGTCCAGAAGAGATGCAGGAGAATCCGCAGACGTCTGGAGGCTGTGTTTGGAGTCAATGGAGATTTTATTGAATAAATATACTCTTTCGTATTTCAAGATATTTTTTGTGCAATTTTGGTAAATTCACCTGTTAAAAGGAGATGTCAGTATTATTTCCATTTTTGCGTAATTAGACGACAATTTACCCATCGCACTCTCTATATATGCTACATAAACACTAGGATTGCTTGTTTTGTTTTGTTTAGAGCAGCGTTTTTCAACCGATGTGCCTTGGTCTACTAGCTGCGCCCTAAAAGATAACCACATGTGAGCCTGGTTAACAAAAGAGTAATTTATGAATTATTTTTATATTTAAGCAAAATCTTTATTTTTTTTTAAAATGCCAGAGACCGCAAGCACATCGCTTCCATGTCTAAGTCAAGTCTTTGTTATTTGATATTTTAAACGGGATGCTAAACTTTTTAATCCTTAGCAAGGAGTGGATAATCCTTTCCATTTTACGTCCCTCGTGGGATTTAGATCAGTTATTTTCGGACTCTAAAAAGTGTATTAGATTTCTTATAAATCCCTTTAAATGAAATCTGTACCCCTAATCTTCTTTCGTAATGCTACCACCGGATTTATTCAACCTATGCAGCGAGGCGATTCTGAGAGAATTAGAAGTCCCACCAGGATTCATTAATGGCGGCCGCAGTCTTAACAATATAAGATATGCAGATGACACAGTGCTGATACGGAAAGCAATTACAAAACTTCGTACCGAAGGTAGCGAAGGAAAGTAGAAAGGATTAAATATAACTACAAGAGAGAATTCATGGTTATCAACAAAAGGGTGATCTCAAAATGCAAATTGCAAATCGGGGATACTAAAATAAAATAAAAAAAAAGTACGAAAATTTAAATATCTGGGAAATAATTTAACAGAGGATGGAATATGCGACACTAAGATCCGAGGACGTATTGGGATGGCCAAAGATGCCTTCCAAAACTTAAGCTGAGTATTAAGAGACAGGAAAATTTCGTTGGAAACAGAGAAAAGAGTACTGGACGGCTACGGGATATCTGTCCTCTTGTATGGCAGCGAATGCTGGACAATCTCTTCGGAGATGACGAAGTGCCTTGAAGCAACAGAACTGTTGTTCTACAGAAAGATGCTGCGGATACCATGGGCCGAACATGTGAACAACGACGAGGTTTTGGAGAGAATAGAAACAAAGAGGAAACTTTTACTTAACATCAGGAAGAGGCAGTTAAAATTTCTGGGGCATGTAATGAGGAAAGAGGGCTTGGAAAATCTGATACTCACAGGAGATGTATGGTTAAAGAGGGACAGAGGAAAACAGCGCGTAACATACTTGATGGGCTTGAGCAAATGGATGACAGAATAGTGGTTGGTAAAGATAACAAAGAAACAAAATTTATTAAGAGTTGCAAGGGACAAGAAGTGGTAGAGGGCAATGATCGCCTACGTCCTGAAGGGACACGGCATAAAAAAGAAGATGAAACCAAAAATGATATACATTAAATGTAATTTTCTTAAGCCTGTTATAGTGAATGACATTAATAATTGACAATATTAAAATTTAATTCCGCACCAGAGTTTTATTTATTCGACAAGTACGCCCTGAAGTAAAAAGAAAATGGTCAAGAAACACTGGTTTAGAGCAAACAAAAACAGCGTAAAATAACGCAGCAATTTTATACAGTCTAACCCAGATATAAGAGAGTTGTCGGGACCGGAGAAGAAGTCTCTTATATCCGGGTTTCTCTTCTATCCGGGTTTGGTCTATTTTATATACATTAACACAGGCTCTAATTTGGGACCAGAGAAAATCTCTCTTATATCCGGGTTTCTCTTACATCCGGGTTTGGTCGATTTTTTATACATTAACACAGGCTCTAATTTGAGACCAGAGAAAATCTCTCTTATATCCGGGTTTCTCTTATATCCGGGTTTGGTCTATTTTATATACATTAACACAGGCTCTAATTTGGGACCAGAGAAAAATCTCTCTTATATCCGGGTTTCTCTTATATCCGGGTTTGGTCTATTTTATATACATTAACACAGGCTCTAATTTGGGACCAGAGAAAATCTCTCTATATCCGGGTTTCTCTTATATCCGCGTTTGGTCTATTTTATATACATTAACACAGGCTCTAATTTGGGACCAGAGAAAATCTCTCTTATATCCGGGTTTCTCTTATATCCGGGTTTGGTCTATTTTTATACATTAACACAGGCTCTAATTTGGGACCAGAAAAAATCTCCTATATCCGGGTTTCTCTTATATCCGGGTTTGGTCTATTTTATATACATTAACACAGGCTTTAATTTGGGACCAGAGAAAATCTCTCTTATATCCGGGTTTCTCTTATATCCGGGTCTCTTATATCCGGGTTACACTCTATACACAATTTACAATTTCTTTGTAATGATGTGTGCAAAGGTATAGAGGAAAAGTTCTCAGCAGTTTCGGAAATGTTCAATGTCTAAAAAGTTGTCTGCCTTTGATTGAAAGGTTGAACTTAACTTAGACAAAAGATTTTTCTATGAAAGATGTTAAGTGAAAAAGTTTGTTGTATGAATTTTTCCAATCTCTCATAAAGAAAGTTTGTTTCTTTGGCGGCAATTTTGACATATAATTCTCGTGTGTATCTTTGCGTGTGTGTGTCTCAAAATGCGACAAAAATTCGTTTGCTCTTTCTATTTATAGTTTTTTTTGTTTGTTTTTTTAACAAAATCAGCTCCAGCGGCTTGGTAGCTTGTTGCGAATTTTTCTGAGAAATGCGTTGGGAGAATGTTGTATTTTTTTTATTTTTTAGCCAATAGGATTTCTTGAAACATTTAAATTAGAGATGAATTTGAGAAAGAATTTTTTTTGTCAGTTGAGCCTATTTTTGCACAAATTTTGACTGTTTTGCTATGGAAATTTCTCGAAGCTTATTTTTATTTAACAACCAATGAAATTCAAGAAAATGTTTGGAAATTAAAATAAGGGTTACTAGAATACCACGGTTTATAGGAATATCACCTAATATCTAGATGGCTAGAACATGGCAACCGATCTCTTATTTTATAGCACTGTTCAGTGGGGTTGGGAAATTTTTCTTAATGGACTCCCCAAAAGAAAGGCAGTAAAGCGGCTAAGGCAAACAGGGTTACTAGGCGTGAAAGAATTAGAAACATTATTAAGTAGCCAGAGCAATTGAAGTGTAATCAAGAAGACAGTAGATGACGATTGACATTACATTTAAATTTTTGAAGATCAAAGTTAACTGGAAAGCATGGAACTGAAAGAGATTTCCACGAGAGCGAAGTGCGAGAAAAGAAACTGTTAGCATAGAACTTACGATTACATCTAACCAATTCAACTGTAAGTTGATGAGACCTTGTTATTGAACTTCTTAAATTCATAATCTAGATACCAAAGCGAAGAGCTCTTCCGAACAATTACCATGAAAATACGAGGGTCATTCAGTAAATAAGGTGAAATTTTCGGTATAAGGACTTCTAATACAGATAGAAGCTTACTTTTATTTATTTTTATTTATTTTATTTTATTT